CAAACCGTGCGTGGACGGACCGTGCGGTGAGGTCTTTGGGGACTCCGCGGTCACCGCACGGTCGGTCACCGCACCGTTTCGGGACCTCCAAGAGGAACAGCAGAGGCACCAGCTTTTTTGGGGGAGGTCCGCGCCTGATTTCGTGTATCGGCGCTCTCCGCGGCAGAGCTCCGCCGACAACGGGCGAGGCAGAGAACGAAGAGGAGGACGAGAAGGCAAAGAGTCGGAGGAGAAGGGGAGGAGGCAAGGAGGAGGAGGAGGAGGCAAGGAGGAGGAGGAGGAGGAGGAGGAGGAGGAGGAGGAGGAGGAGGAGGGCAAGGGAGGACGTTCAGGGCCGTCGGGAACTCTCGGAACCGTCTTATGGGCGGTGCCTCCGGCGCTGCCCCTGGCGCGCTCCGGGCGCCAGGGGCGGGGGTCCCAGCGCCGACCCGAGAGAAGTCCGCGCTGGACCTCTGACAGTCTGTGCTGGTGCTTATCTTTCTCCACGCGCAGAGGGGGAGGGCTTCTTAGAAACACTCTGGCAAAATCAATGAGGTTTGCCGGGAAGGGCTTTCTTGGGAGGGCTCTTGGAGGCCTGTTGAGGATTTCGTACTTTTTCTAGGTCAGCTCGAGGCCATCTTCGGCGTTGTGGGCCGATTTTTGGGCGTCTCGGGGCCGCCGTCTTGGGGGTTTCTTGGGGCCTTCTTGGCCCGTGTTCTTAGACGGCGCGGTCCTTAGATATAAGGCCGGCGCCGTCTAAGGAGCAGCCTTCTTCCAAGAAGCCCTCCCCCCTACTTCCACCCCCTTGTGCGCGCCGCCAATCCTTATAGGTGGGCCCGCAGCGCAGGGTGCTGACCAGCCTGAGTTATTCCGTGGGCGCCATGGCGCTGGACAGCCTCGGTAACCTGTTCTTCTCGGAGGAGGGCCAGCTGAGACAATGGCAGCCCTTCGGCGCGGAGACCGCGTGGGAGACATTAGAGATCATCCCCCAGAGATCTTGATCGCGAACAGGTATTCGGACTCGCTCTGGACTCGGCTCGGGGGTCTGAGTTGGCTGGGTCCCGCGAAGCGGGGCCCCCGAACGAGGTGGTGACCACACCGTGCGGTGAGTCGGTGGGGCTTCGGCGTCACCGCTCAGTCTTGGGAATCGGGTCGTTCTCCGAGGACGTCTCGGGCGACTGGGGCATCCGAGGTCCCGACACCGTGCGTTGACGGACCGTGCGGTGAGGTCTTGGGGGATCTCGAGGTCACCGCACGGTCTGTCACCGCACCGCTTCGGGAGTCCAGAGAGAGAAGATCGGCTTAAGGGGGGGGGTGAAGACGAATCCCCTCAAAATCGGTTCCCGCACCCCTCTGGGTGCCTGGCCTGACTTCGTTCTCCGAGGCGGATCCAGCCGTGGCGACGAGAAGCCTCCAGGAGGCCCAGGAGGGCCGCACAACGCCATGGGAGCCCCGCCGTTGTCTCGACGGGCCCCCCTCCGAGCCTCTCCGAGCCTGGGGGCGGCGCCATCCGCATGCTCGCCGCCTCGGAGGTCGCGAAGGGCGGCAAGGCGGCGGTGGCCGTGTACTCCGCGGCGGACGCCTCGGTGATCGGGGGAGAAAAAGATACGGATACGTGTTTTCCCCCTTCGTTTTCGGCCTTTCCTGGTCCTCCTGGGGAATCCTCGTTGTCACCGCTGGATTCGCTTCGAAATTCTGGTCAGAACGCACCCCAAGAGAGGTCCGGGGACAACACGTATCCGTATCTTTCCGCCCCCCAAGGTGAAGGGCCCAGCCGGGCTCGTCGCCGACAACTTCTTCTCGGGGGCTGCTGCGGAGGTCTCTGGCCCAAGGCGTCCCTGCCTACGGTGGGGGCATTCGTGGAGGAGCGTGCACAGGAGGCTTCGGACCCTGGGCGATTCCTTGTCTGATGAGGGCGCGGTGATATCCATGGCCAATCCACGATTGGAGTTCCACTGGCTTCCAGACCCTGGAACTCTTATCCAATGGTTCCTCATCGTTGCCCTCACCGAAGCTTTTTCTCTTTATTTTGTACCCCTTGGGGCCCTCTGGGCCTCGTGAGTCAGAGGAGGGCCAGCTGAGACAATGGTTGTTGGCCTTCGGGGGACCCCCTCGTCGCCACGGCTGGACGCAGCTCGGCAAACTGGCGCGTTTGGGCCCGGGGAGGGGTCCGGGAACCGATTTTGAGATGCCGTTGCCTCAACTCACCCTCCGAGTGAAGGGTGCTCTGGAGCGGAGTCCGATCGTCGCCTCCCTGGGTCCTGGGGACGCCCTGGGTCGGGGCCATTACTGGCAGCGCCCGGTCTTCCTGTATTGGGCAAACCAGCAGGTCAGGGGCAACTTTGGGGCAACGTTCGGGGGGGTATAGGCTCAGGGGGGGGGTGCATCGACCCTCGATCGCCCATTGATCGCCGAGAAGGGCCCGATAGCCCACCCCGCCCAGGAATGTGCGGTTTCGCCATCGGGTGCCCATTGCTGATCTATCCGGCGCTGTATCGCCGATTCCCCGTCGATATCCCTCCCCAGGCCAGCCCCCCCCATAGCGTTCCCCCCGAGCAGGGCGACACCAGCAGCGGCATCGTGGCCCGCGCGCCTGAGCGTCGCGCCCAGGGCTCCAACGCGTCGGTGGAGGTGCTCGCCGCGAACAGCGACCTGTACCAGGAGATCGCGGTGAACGTGTGCCTCGCGCGCGACAACCTGTTCTTCACGGGTGCTGGGCGCTCTAGAAAGAGCCTCGCCCTCGACCGGGGTCGAGGGACTCTGCGATCCTTCCTGGCGTCGCACTTTTTTCGCAGCGGGCGTTTTCGCTGGGTTTCGGGCCCCGGGGCCCTCACGGATCGATCTGGCTCGGAAAAAGCTGCAGAAAGGTGGGCTCTAGGAGGAGGAGGAGGAGGAGGAGGAGGAGGAGGAGGAGGAGGAGGAGAGGAGGAGGAGGAGGAGGAGGAGGAGGCGGAGGAGGAGGAGGAGGAGGAGGAGGAGGAGAAAAGGAGGAGGAGGAGGGAGAGGAGGAGGAGGAGGAGGAGGAGGAGGAGGAGGAGGAGGAGGAGGAAAAGGATAAGGAGGATGAGGAGGAGGAGGAGGAGGAGGAGGAGGAGGAGGAGAGGAGGAGGAGGAGGAGGAGGCGGAGGAGGAGGAGGAGGAGGAGGAGAAGGCGGAGGAGGATGAGGAGGAGCAGGAGGAGGAGGAGGAGGAGGAGGAGGAGGAGGAGGAGGAGGAATACTCATAATAATAATATTAGGAGGAGGAGGAGAGGAGGGAGGAGGAGGAGGAGGAGGAGGAGGAGGAGGAGGAGGAGGAGGAGGAGGAGGAGGAGGAGGAGGAGGAGGAGGAGGAGGAGGAGGAGGAGGAGGAGGAGGTGAAAATTGAGAAGGAGGAGGATGAGGAGGAGGAGGAGGAGGAGGAGGAGGAGGAGGGGGAGGAGGAGGAGGAGGAGGTGAAGGAGGAGGGGAGGAGAAGGAGGCGCAAGCGCGGAGCAGGAGGAGGAGGAGGAGGAGGAGGGGAGGAGCAGGAGCAGGAGAGGAGGAGGAGGAGGAGGAGGAGGAGGAGGAGGAGGAGGAGGAGGAGGAGGAGGAGGAGGAGGAGGAGGAGGAGGAGGAGGAGGATATGTAGCCATTGTGGCTCAAGTCCGTAGCGTTGGCTCAGTGACTTGGCTTTTTGGTGTGGGGGATCGGCGGCCCCCGACTGCTCTGTATAACGGTGTACTACCGATACCCTACACCTTGTCTGGTTCGCTTTTCCTCCTGAGGGAGGGCGCTCGTGGGTGGCAGTCTGGAAGACGACTTGGTGTTGCCCTAGCAAGAAGTGTGGCTTCAGGTTCAACGATGAGTGACGCAATCGTTGTCGCCGATGCAACATAATGCAACACGGCGCGTGGAGGTCCCGTTCCCCGTGAGCAGCCTCCACCGAAAGGGGCCTGGGCCAACGGTGCCAGTGAGTCTGTGCGCCAGAAGCTTTCGAAGCCGCAGCCGCAGCCGCAGGCTCAGCTATCGGAGGAGCAGCTCACAGCCTGTGCCGCCATGGATCAGGCCACATACGACGCGCTGCAGGGCTTGCTGACGTCCAGGGAAGCCGTGGAGGCGGAAAGCAGCCCTTCATGTAGCCACGTGCGGAGCCGAGCTGGAGGCGCTGCAGGCGAAGCTGATTGAGGCCGCTGAGCGTGCCAGACAAGCCTTCGCCCAGCTCAGCTCGGACCCCCAGGCTGGCGCCGCCGCTGCGCCCGCTGGTGACCCGCGCGCCGCCCTGTTCACCAAGGCGCAAGCGCTGGGCGACCCCGCGCTGCTGGAGGCGATGCGGACGCTCTTCCAGAACATGGAGGCCACGTGGGAGGAGGCCCAGCAGCAGCAGCAGCAGCAGCAGCAGCAGCAGCAGCAGCAGCAGCAGCAGCAGCAGCAGCAGCAGCAGCAGCAGGAGGCTTCCACGGCGGCTGGCGCCCACGCCGCGGCCCCCCGCGATGTGCAGCCTGCCACGGGCGGCGGCGCCCCGCCCCCCCCCCCCCCCGCGATGCGCAGCCCGCCACAGGCGGCGGCGCCGTGGGGGCCCCTCCTGCTGCAGCGGCCGCGGCGCTCGCTGCGGCTCCTCCCGCAGGCCCTGGCAGTGATGAGCCTGGTCTGTCTCATCCTGTGGGTGCTGCTGCCTTGCGATGGGCAGAGAAGAATCACGCCAAGCTCCTGGAGGCCATGCAGCAGGCCTTGCAGGGATTCGACGTGGACGACGACATGGGCGAGGAGCAGAACGAAGAGGAGGCTACCCAGGGCCTGCTCAAGACACGAGCCATCGAGCTCTTCGGTGACGCGCTGCGGAACACCAAGCAGCCTCGAACGTTGGGATCGCGCTTCTCCGTCGCGCCGTCATATCAGTTTTCTGAGCGCGAATGTCACGAGCCAGCCTGGTCTGGAAGTATTGCGGCAGAGTGAGTGCTGGATTGGCGCGGACATGGTGATGGTGCAGGAAACGACGGTCCCGTCCCATCAGAAGGACAGCTATGAGCAGACCATGCGCGGGTCAGGATGGAAGGCGTGTGTGGAGGCCGCCCCGCGCAAGTCAGGTGGCAGCAGCACCTCTCTTGCGGGCTTGACGGGCGGACTCATGCTGGCGACGCCAGCAAGATATGGCCTGAGTGTGATGCCATGGATCTGGTCTTCAGTCTGTGCAGGGCGCTCATTGTTGCTGCATGTCGACCACGGCCCCAAGGGTGGCATGATCGTGGGCACGCAGTACCTGTGCTATTCGGGCGACCTCAGCGAGCGAAACTGGCGCATCCTCTATCACATGGGACGTGGGCTCAAGAAGGCTGGGCTCCCCTTTGTGCTCAGCGCGGACTGGCAGGTCACGCCCGAGTAGCTGGCAGAGTCGGGCTGGGCGGAAGGCATCGGATGCACCATCGTAGCGCCCAAGAGAGGCACGGTCAGGCCTTCGGACAGGGTCATCGATTATTTTGTGGTGAGCAGTTCCCTCGCCAACGGGGCCAGCGTCGACGTCGTTGATGACGTGGAGATCAGCCCTCGTCGCTCTGTGCGGCTGCGCTTGGCCGTGCCACGGCGTCCGCCCACATCGAGGATGGCCGTGCAGCCGTGGAAGTTTCCCCCCGCGATGCCGATTGGATGCAGGCGGGACTTCATTGAGCCAAGTTGGGACGACATCCCGGAGAGAGCGCACAACCCGAGCATCAGCGTGCAAGACTCGCGGGGGCATTTGGTCAGAGTTGCCGAGCAGAAGTGGTTGAATATTTCCTACGTCGACCCCGGCGATCGCCAGAAGTATGTTGGCAGAAGCTCGCCTCCCCAGCTGAAGTTCGTCGCGCCGCCCAAGCCCTGCGCGGCCCCCTACCCGGCGCTCAGCTCCGAGGCAGTCTGGCGGAAAGAAATGTCGCAGGCTCTCATGGACAGGTTCGTTCTTCGTGGAGGCTGAGATGACGTTGCTCGACAGCGTCGCTTGTCTCGGCTCTGTCGTGCGGCCTCTTTGCCGCGCCGCTACTCGCTTGCTGTTTCTTTTGCCAAGTTGGTTCAGGATCCCGAACTGGGGCCTGCAGAATTTGACGCGCTGAAGGACCTTGCTCAGTCTGTGGCTGGTGAGCTCATCGCCGCCAGACAACTGGGAGGCTTGGGTGGTCAGGCGCTCGACGGGGCAAGGGGCCTCAGCGTTATGTAGCCTTGCCGAGGTGCTGTCAGGCTGGGCCCCCGACGAGGCCCTTGTAGACCAGGTGCTGTTGGGCACCGCTGAGCAGATGGAACAGTTGCAACAGGAGAGGGAGAAGTGGTGGTGCGCCCCAGAGCTGCATCCCGAGCCTTGTTGGCCAGACCTCTCCCTCCCCGAGCCTCCTCCCAATCCCTCCCTTGCTCAGGTTGCGAGAGTTTTGAAATCCTTCGGGCCCTCCACGGGCCAAGGGTGCGACTGCGTAAATCCCAAGCACCTGCTGCTTCTAGGGGAAGAGGCCCTGGGTGCCATTGCCGAGCTGCTGCGTCAGATTTAGCTGCGGCTGGAGTGGCCCATGGTTTGGAACAAGGTTTTTTTGGGCCAAACGGCCTGGCGGCTTTCGGCCTATTGCTCTGTTGCACATCCTGGCGAGGGTCTTGAGTCGAGTGCGCGAGGGCGCGTTTCATGAGTGAGAGCGAAGACATGTTAGGGGCTTTGAGTCGGGGACCAAAGGCATGGCCCCCGACAAGTGCGTCTGGGTGCATGCGACGTGGGCCGAGTGGGCTCATGGCCGTGGGATGGTTGCGGGGACGGTGCTTGTGGACCGCAAAGTGGCTTTTTAGCACATTCGGCACCGCCACCTCATAGCTGCCGCGCAGCGCACGTGTTTTCCCATGCGGCTCCTTCGTCTTCTAGTTCGCCTGTGCCGAATGCCGCGTATTCTCGATATGGCACATACGCACCGGAGCCAGTGCATTCAGAGCAAAGTGTGCTGCTAGGTTGCGTGTTCGCCGAAGTCATGCTGCAGTTGATCACGCTCGGTCCCATGGATGCTGTGCGTGCTGCTGCCCCGTCCGCTGCCTTATCCAAGCTTGTCGAAACTGGGCTGCAGAGGCTTGGAGAAGAAAGCCGAGTCCTGGACGGTCTCGTGGCTGCTGGGGCCGAGCTGCACGTGCCAGCGAAAAAAGTATGACTTGATCCTTGCGCAAACCAAGACCCGCTGTCTCGGTAGTGCTGCCTCAGGAAGGCGCTCGAGCTGGACCTCGGCATGCCTGGCGGCCAGGGCTCGCGCCCCGAGAGGAATCCCGGGGTGGACCTCGGGTCGGGTCGGAAGTGCGGGGCGAGAGTGCCTCCGCGCTGCTGTGGCGAGGGCGCGGCGTTTGAAGGTCCTCGCGCGAGCCAGGCGATGGCGCTCGGTCACCCGCGCGGCCAGGGCCACGATTGAGGCCAGCGTCGGCTACGGCGCCGGCGCGACGGGTGCCGACGGGCAAGAGCTGTTGAGGCTCAGGAAGCCCGTCGTCAACCGGGGCCCCGCTAGCTCCTCCTCTTTGACCCTCCGCCTCCTGTCAGGAGGGAAACAACACAGACACAATTGATCGTCGATCCCCAGGAAACTATGGGAAACTATGGGAAATGGGGGGGGAAGACGAAAACCCAGAAACTATGGGAGAATATGGGGAATATTTTTATTTGTGTGTATTTATTTGTGTGTCCCAGGGCCCCTTCAAGAGTGCCCGAAGCTCAGGCCCAGCAGAGCAATGGGGGGTCTGTGGCAGGGCCTCTTGGGGCCTCTCAGCGCGTTCTCGGCTGCTTGTGATCTTCTTGGGATCATCTTTGGAGGCTTTCTTGAGCTGATTTTCCCATTGGGCCTTGAGGTCGATCCCGCCAGGATGCGTCTGCGCGGCTTGCGTCTGTCGATTGATCGTGCCTGCGAGGCCTGGCACTGGAGATGTGTTGCCCAGAGCCTCCGGTGCCCTGAGCTTGAACGGGGAGCTTTGGTCGAGCCCGTCCTGTGTCTGCTCTCATGCCGATCACCGCTCGCGCCTGAGGAGAGCGTATTTGCGCTCGGCAGTCATCGGCAGCCAGTGGAGGCAGCAGCGAATGCATGATGCCCAACTGGTCTCTTCCCCGACCTGTCGGGTCTGCTTAGAGGCCCTTGGGGCCCTTTGCCATCGGCGCCTCGTTTGCGATGGCCTCGCGAGCGCTGGGATCTCGCCGACAGCTTCGCTTCGCAGGGTGCTGCCCGAAAATCCCTCGGAGCTCACTGTTGCGCGGCAGTCGTTTGCTCTTGTCCTTTGATCGGCAGCCCCAGTTGCCGCCGCGAGCGCCTGAACAGTTTTGCGTCGGCACGAGTGATTTGCTCACGGGAGATTTGTTCGTGGATGGGCCCAGGTGCGATCGCGCCATCCCGAATGGAAGCACCGCTGCCTGGGCCATCGTTGCTTTGCACCCGTCTCCCCCCCCCCCTCCCCGCGCCAGTCGAGATTTCTCGGTCGCGGCGGTATGCGGAGGAGGAGTGCAGGGCGCCATCCAGTCCATCGACAGCGCAGAGCTAACAGCCGTGCTTCGTGCTTTGCAGAATGCGCTGCCCCCCGATTGTGCTCCACGGAGATCGTGAATTTGCATTCTTGACCTTTCACTCGCAGGGGAAGGGTTAGCTGATACCTCCCGTCCAGTGCGCACTCGGACGTTGGGCATCTTGCATGGAACAAAGTAGATGACTGGGCTGGGTCGGGACCCCAGACGGTGAGTTTTGTGAAGGCTACGGCCCACCGCGCCCCAAAGCGGCGCCGAGGAGTGCCCGCGCGTATGCTTGCGGGCAACTTTCGCGCCGACTTGTGGGCGAAGCCTGTTGCGAAGCAGCGGCGAGTCGACATTTCGCTTCGAGTGCGATTCGCGAGAGCGTGCCGACTGCGGAAGGCGGTGGGGGAGCAGGCGGGAAGGGCGGGGGCCGCGTCCGCGGGCCTCGGCACGGAGCGCCTGCCCCGCCACGAGCTTCAGCACGCTCGACAGCGGCGCCGGGAGGCGCGGCCCCCGCCGGCCGCCGTGGAGGCGAGTGCGGCCGCCGCCGCCGACGCCTCCCCATCGCTTCCTCGCCTGGCGCCTCCTCCTCGGCCTGCGCGCGTGCGTGAGCGCGTGCACGTGGTGAACGGGGAGCACAGGCTGAGGAGATGGGTCGAGCGCAATGGTGCCGCCAGCGGCATCTTCTGTGCGCGCTGCGGGTCTCTGGCCACCGCCCAGATTCGCAAGGTGGCCCGAGTGTGCTCCCAGCCGTCCGCCTGGGGGAGGAGGGTGCTCGCGGGGCTTGATCGTGGCCGAGTGTTGCATCGGGGCAGGTGGCTTATCGTCGAGACCCGGCTCTTTGAATCTCCAGTGCTGTCCAGTGCTGGCTAGCCCGTTGATTTGGTCACGGGCGCCATCCAGGTCCAAACTCTGGTGTCGGTGGCACGAACCCATTTGCTTTCATGTGTGTCGCAGGAGGAGGAGGAGGAGGAGGAGGAGGAGGAGGAGGAGGAGGAGGAGGAGGAGGAGGAGAAGGAGGAGGAGGAGGAGGAGACGGAGGAAGAGGAGGAGGAGGAGGAGGAGGAGGAGGAGGAGGAGGAGGAGGAGGAGGAGGAGGAGGAGGAGGAGGAGGAGGAGGAGGAGGAGGAGGAGGAGGAGGAGGAGGAGGAGGAGGAGGAGGAGCAGGAGCAGGAGCAGGAGGAGCAGGAGCAGGAGGAGCAGGAGGAGCAGGAGGAACAGAAGAAACAGGAGGAGCAGGAGGAGGAGGAGGAGGAGGAGGAGGAGGAGGAGGAGGAGGAGGAGGAGCAGGAGGTGGAGGAGGAGGAGCAGGAGGAGGAGGAGGAGGAGGAGGAGGAGGGTATGATTCTCAGCGACGTCGAATTTTTTAAATGGTGGCACCTCTTTCCTGGCGGCGTGCGGCGGAAGGCCCAGTGGTCAGCCGCGGAGGCGCGCAGAGATCGCGCTATCGCGCCTCCGCGGTGTGGGCCAGAGCTGCTGCCCTTCTCCAGTGGGGGCGGCGCGATGGTGCGGCGGTGGGCGGACCAAAAGTGTCCACGCCCGTTGCGCGAAGACAGCGCTACACACAAACATATCGTATCATAGTATGTATCCCTGCCCCCCCCCCGACCCAAAGTTGACGGCTTTGGGCGCGATGCAGCGCGCGAAGGGACATAACGTGGACACTTCGCAACTGTGGGATCTGGGGGAGGGGTGTGAGCCGTATGGCTTCCGCGTCTGCGGATGGTATCAGTTCAGAGGGTCTTCGCACCAGAGGTGTTTTTTTTTTTGTCTGGGCGCCGGAGGCGCCAAGATTATCGCGCGTCGCGCATGGTAGGGCGCCATGCGCGACGTGTGGTGACCCGGAAGGCCGGCGGAGGGCGGCGCCAGAACGGGGGCGGCTCCGCCGGCGGAAGCCCGGCAGGCAGCACAGAACCAGCCGCCCGAGAGATGCCACGTTTTGTGCGCTCAGGGTCGCCAGGCTCGGCCAGGGAGCCGTTTCCTTGTCCCCTGGCTAGAACGGTGACTTGTTCTTCTCCTCCCCAGGGTAGCGCTCGTTGCCTGGACCATCCCCCGCCCTCCCCGGGTAACGCTAGGAATCGTATGGGGTGGGTGGCCCATGGATCCCCCTCCCCACATGCTGGGGGGCATGGTGCCAGCGGCGCGGACGCACCCTGGCGGGTGCACGCCGCGGCCGCCGGTACCGTTCCGCCCCACCGCCCCCCCCCCCCGGATGACGACCGTTACCCGGGAATGAAAAACAACACCAGTGACAAGGGCGTGACCTGGGGGGGGGGGGGGGAAAACAGGGGGGCGGAGGCCTGTCATGTTGCGATTCGCGCCAGCGCCGTCTTGGAATGTTGAGAGGAATGGCGCGAATCGTGACGTGACCAGCGGGGTGGGGGGGACGAGGGGGGGTTGGGGCCAGTAAGGGGCGTGATCGCGAATAACGAAGAACGGGTTCCAGGTGAGTCCGAGTACCTGTTCGCGGTCAAGATCTCTGGGGGGATGATCGCCAACGTCTCCCGTGCGTTCTCCGCGCCGAAGGGCTGCGCCTACGACGGAGAGAGCACCCTATACGTCGCCGACGCCGGCAGCAACGCGGTCTATTCTCTGCCCGCGAACATGGCAGCGCTCCGCCCAGTCAGGCACACGACCAAGGCTCGGGTGTTGCCATAGGCAATGCTCTGGCTCAAGGCGACTCCATTGGTCAGGGAGGCTCAGATGTGGCCTCCAGGTCACCCCTCGTAAGGCCCCGCGGGGGGTGCCAGAGGACCTAGATTCCAATGGCAAAAAACCGCACATACAAACTTTTGCTCTCGACAGCCCGCGCGAGAGTCTGGGATCGGCGCTGGGCCATCCAGTGGTGCCTCCGGCGCCGCCCACCTGCGCGCTCCGCGAGCCAGGGCAGCGTGGTCCAGCGCCGGTCCGAGGAATCCGTGCGGAGATATGGAAGTTTCTGTTTATGCCGCCTGTTGGTCCTCTGAGAATGTCACCGAGTGCGTTCCACTGCTCGCGAAGTGCCTACTCACAAACGTCCGAAGAAGCACTCGCGTGCCCCGATGTCACGGATCGTAGATCCCCCGCGGCGGATCCGGGCCATTGGCGAGTGGTTTCTCTGCGAGTGGTGGAACGCGCTTGTCTAGAATGGCTCGTAAAGCTGGGGGCAGCTTGGGCCAGGGACGCCTCCCCAGGCGTCGTCCTTCTTGTTGCCAAACGGCTGAGATCCTGCGATCATGATCCTTCCGCACTGCTCTAGGCCTCCCAGGTGAGCTGCCCGCGTAAGTTCGCGCGTAAGAGCCCTCGTTCCCAATGTAACGTGCCGCGCTGGCGGCCCGCGTAAGCTACCGCGTAAGGTCGCTACGTCATCTTGCGTAAGACCCGTTTTTGATCGTCGCCCAGATGGGGTCAGAGTAGAGTCGGGTATAGCCATGGCCCCGATCAAGGGATGCAGGTTAGTGATTGGGCCCCGAAGCCCCGAAATATGGACTGGAATCACCAAGCCGGGTCTGCCGTAATTCGCTGGTTTTCTCCGTGTCGCGGCAGTTCTGGTTAGTGGAGTGGGGCGCGGGGGGCGTCCCCCGGTACACATCATTAAACCAGGTCCCACCAAACCGAGTCCCGCCAACGCCGGATAGATGGGGTCGGCGGATCGCGCCGAATAGCCGCTGCATCAGCGATGCAGCTCGATGTGGAACCCGATGCTCTTCACGCCGACGTTGCCGATGCATCGCAGATGCATCAGCGAAGCATCGGTAATGCGGCTCTTTCCTCCGACCCCACCTACTTGGACCCCGTTTGGGAGGCCTCGAACTACGGAGACCCGAAGAAGCTCAAGCGCTCCCCTGGGGCCATGCCTTGAGGCCTGGGGGGAGCAGACCTTTGCGAGCCTGCTGATTCAGGCGATCGCAAACATGGATCAAGGGGGCGTGGATTAGCGACGGGTCCCGCTTCCATGGGGAATCGTGGATTTCCGCCGCCGGCCGCATTTTGGGGAGGGCACCTCCCCCAATCCATGGATTTGGCGTCCGCGCGCCAAATCCATAGATCGCTATTCCATGCTTGCGAGCCCCCGACTGATTCGGAAGCCGGGCAAGGGCTGCTACATCCGTGGCTGCTAAAATCGACCTCCGCGCAGTTGTCTTCGTCCTTCCGGGAAGAAGCCCGCTGACCGTTTCGCGTGCCGCGCCTCATTCCGGGAAGTTGTGTTCTCCTTCCTGGAGGGCCGTTTCAGCAGCCATGGTCTTAGCAGCCCTCGCCCAACTTTCGATTGATGGCCGTCTGCCCTCCGCATCCTCTCTGCTCCCCCCCCTCCCTCGAGGCCCGCCTCTCCACGCGGAGCTCCCGTGCCCACCCGGCCCGGGGGCCCGAGACCGGCTCCTCCAGGGGCCGGATGCTGTGGCTAGAGCGCTCGTCGCTCGGGGGTCTGGGGAAGACGCCGGGGGTCTCCTGTGGTGCTGGAGGTAGGACGAGGGGGTATGGTGTATAAGAGTGGTGTGGTGTTACTTTCACGTGAAGGGGGTATGGTGTATAAGAGTGGTGTGGTGTTACTTCCAGGTGAAGGGGCCTGGCGCTGTTCTGCTCCTCGCAGGCAGCCTCGCCATGGCCACGGTTGGCACTCTAATGACCCCTTGGTGCCGCACCCGTTGCCTACCCCCTTCGAGTGGTGGGGGCATGGTCTGTAAGAGTGGTGTGGTGTTACTTCCAGGGGAAGGGGCCCGGCGCTGTTCTGCTCCTCGCAGGCAGCCTCGCCAGTGCCACGGTTGGCACTCTAATTGCCCCTTGGTGCCGCACCCGCTGCCTATACCCCTTCGAGTGGTGGGGGTATGGTCTATAAGAGTGGTGTGGTGTTACTTCCAGGGGAAGGGGCCTGGCGCTGTTCTGCTCCTCGCAGGCAGCCTCGCCATGGCCACGGTTGGCACTCTCCACACCCCTCGGTGCCGCACCCGCTGCCTAATTACCCCTTCGAGTGGTGGGTCGAAGGTGGGCCCCCCGAGGCCCGAGCCCCTGGCGCTTGCACGCTTCCTGCGCCACGGGCGCCTGCGCGCCGCGCCGGGTCTCGGGGACCACCCGTCCTGCGGGATTCTCGGGAGCCTCGGAGGGAGAGCTGCCAGTACCCAGAAGAAGGAGGAAGAGGAGGAGGCCCAGAGATCCGACGCTGAAAAAAAAAAATTGGGGCGTCGGGATTTTGGCAGTGTTCGGCCTCCAGGGGCCCTCGCCGGGGCCTCGGGAGCGTCAAGAAATCGGGAGCCTCGAGACGGGGGTCACAGCAGACGGGGGTCAGCCAGGGCGCCGGATCCTGCAGGATCCTGCGAAGACGCCCTCTGGCTGACCCGGGTTGGCGAGCCGCTCGTGGCCGCGAGGCGGCCGCGCATAGTGGCTGACCCGGGTTTGCGAAGACCTGCGTTGCAGTTTTTTTTTTTTTTCCTGCATTGCAGTTTTTGGTTTCCTTCTGACCCGGGTCTAGATTGACCCGGGTCAGAAGGTCCCCGAGGGATGCATGACAGCCCGAGCTCCAAGGGGGGGGGCCCCGCCGTGGCCACCAGAAGGCGCCTCCCCGCTGGCTCCGAAGAGGGCACCGAGCAAGCTCCAGCAATCTCTGCCCTCGATCCTCGGGCTTTGGCAAACTCAGCGAAGGTGGTGTCGGTCGAGGGCCCAGACCAGATTGCGATCTTCCACACGGTGGGGGACGGCTTGCTGGATCAGACGACAGGGGCCGGCGGTTGGGAATCCCTTCGTCTTCGTGGCGGTCGGTGTCGTTGTGGTCGTGGCCGTCGTGGTCGTGGACATGCTGGTGGTGGGGTGGTCGTCCTCGTCCTCGTCCTCGTCCTCGTCCTCGTCCTCCTCCTCCTCCTCCTCCTCGTCGTCGTCGTCGTCGTAGCAGGCGATCCACGCCGCCGGCGCGGCCCCGTGGGGCCCGCGGGCCGCCGCTGCGGCGGCCTCGCTGGCCGCGGCCGCCGCGTGCTGCGCGTGAGGGGGGGGGGGGGGGGCGCGGCGGCCGGGAGGGGGGGGGGCGCGGGCCGCCAGCACGCGTCGCGCTCGGGGCCTCCAAGATCCCTCCCCAGACATGCATGATCGCGTCGTGACAAAACTCTGGACGGGAAGTTTTTGGCCATTTTCGGCCTCGGGGGGCCCTCGCCGGGCTTCGGGAGCGTCAAAAAACAACTCAGGATGAAAAACTGGTCCCGGGGAAAGTGTCGGGATTTCCAGGGAACCCGTATTGAACAAATCAGAACGTCGCATGTCTGGGTCCGCGAAACTTCTCGGCCATGCGCAGAGGAGGGTGCAGCTCGGAGGAGGAAATGGCACCCATACCTCTACCCTTCGTTCGTTTTCCTCTTTTTGAGCCTCCTGGGCCTCCCTCGTCGCCACCGCTGGATTCGCCTCGAAATCCTGGTCAGAACGCGCCCCGGGGTCAGGTCTGGGGGTAGCGGTATCGGTACCTGTTGATTTTCCCAACAGTGGGGGTCCATGCCAAGAAACACCCTGCTTGCCTCCAGGATGCCCTGGGTGTCCTGGGTTTTGCTGGTTTTGCGATGGCAAGCGTGACGTCCCCACACCAAATATCAATGGACGTCCTGGGGTGTCAGACAGACAGACAGGAACCGTGCCTAGACGGCACATCGGTTGCAGATCGAGTGTATGTACAATCGCACTCCAGCTCCAGATGGGATTATATCTAAATCTGCTCGGTCATGCCCGATCCCCCCAAGAGGCCCACAAGGTGGACGACCCGGAAGAGCAGCGGCAGCAGGGGGCAGAGGAGGGAACGACACCTGGGACCAGGACGAACCCAAAGCCGGATGAGGGGGGAGAGCGAGCGACAGGCGACGACACCCGAGAGGAGGGGAGGAGGGCGAAGCCCCGGGCGACCGCACGAGGGACGAGCAGGAGGGAGAGCAGGCAGAGGAGCGACGCAAGACGGCGGAAGAGGGGACGACTACACCACCTGAGGGCACGCTGCCAGGGGAGCTGGGGCGAACATCGAGTTTTCTAAACATCATCCCATAAAACAAATTATAAGCAATGCGTCACAAGACGCCCGGGTGGTGCGTTCTCAATTCAAGCAATACCTCAACACTTCCTAGTTCCATTCTTGGCGATGAAACGTGCTCTGTCCGAACTTTTATCGGACGGCCTCTTCCTGGCTCTCGGCCCTTCCGCGCATGTGCGTCGCAATTGTCAACAGCTCAAATTAGAGCCCGCCCCCAAATCAGACCACCTCCCTTTTGTTATGAATCCTGTGTCGATGGGGTCGGAGGACCGCGCCGCAACGCCGATGCATCGGCGATGCGGCTCGATGTGGAGCCCGATTTTCTCGACCCATCTACTCAGACCCCATCTGGGCCGCCAGCACGCGACGCGCGCTCCCAGACATCCGACGCCTGAAGAGAATGATCGGAGGAGGGCCAGTTGAGGCAAGGTGCGCGAAGGGCGGCAAGTCGCCGGCGGCCATGTCCTCCCCGGGGGTCGTCTCGGTGAAGGGCCCAGCTGGGCTCGTCGCCGGCAGCTTCTTCTAGGGGGCTGCTACGAGTGCCCCCGGCCCCAGGCGACCCCGGCGTTTTCGCTCCATCGTGGAGCCCCTGGGACCATCTGGGCCTCGTGAGACGGAGGAGGGCCAGCCGAGACAGCGGCAGTGGGCCTTCGGGGGGCCCCCGCGTCGCCGCGCCTGGTCGCAGCTCTGGAGGCTGGCGCGTTTGGGCCCGGGGAGGGGTCCTGCAGGACCGATGCTGGGCTGCCGTGGTCTCAGCTCGCCTTCCTCTCTCCGAGCGACGGGGTGCTCTGGAGGCCGTGGGCGGCCTCCCTGGAAGTCCCGGGGGCGCCATCTCGGCCGGAGCCACGTCTGGCAGCGCCCAGTGAGGAGGAGGCGGAGGAGGAGGAGGAGGAGGAGGAGGAGGAGGAGGAGGAGGAGGAGGAGGAAGAGGAGGAGGCGGAGGAGGAGGAGGAGGAAGAGGAGAGAGGAGGAGGAGGAGGAGGAGGAGGAGGAGGTGAAAGAGGAGGTGAAAAGAGGAGGAGGAGGAGGAGAGGAGGAGGAGGAGGAGGAGGAGGAGGAGGAGGAGGAAGGAGGAGGAGGAGGAGGGAGGAGGAGGAGGAGGAGGAGGAGGAGGAGGAGGAGAGGGGTAGGATGAGGGGGGTGCACCGACCCTTAACTGTCCATTGATCGCGGAGCAGTGCCCGGGAACCCGCCCCGCCCAGGAATGTGCGATTTCGCCATCGGGGGCCTATCTTTAAGTCGGGCGTGTCCTTGCACAGGGGAAAAAATAGTCAGGGGACGATTGTTTTTTTGTTGGAACTGTTTTGTGTATTTTTGGTCAACTTGCTCTTTGTCTTCCAAAGTCCGCCTGTGGGAGAACATGCCCGACCTAAGCCTATCCCTGCTCTATCGGCGATGTACCGCCGATTCCTTCCTCCCAAGCCAATCCACCCCCTAACGTTCCCCCCCAAGCAGGGCGACACCAGCAGCGGCACCGTGGCGCGCGCGCGTCCGAGCGGCGTGCCCAGGAGGCTCCAACGCATCGGTGGAGGTGCTTGCGCCGAACGGCGATGTGTCGCCTATTCTGGGTCGATGTTCCCCCCAGTGGCCGTCGTCTCAGCTCGCCCTGCGCCGAAATCTACGGACGTCATTTTTGTTTGTTTGTTTGTTTGTTTGTTTTTTTTGTTCTCTCTCATATATTTATATTTCTATATATATATATATATATGTATTGTGCATACGCAGTTTTTGGCGGTACGTATTCTGGGGCCGCCCTCGGGGATCAGGAAGGCAATCAACAAGGCGGTTCGGGATGAACACAAAGTCGACCCCATGGGGGATGGGTCGGTCGGGGCTTCGGGGGCCCCGTCGTCGCTTTTGCTTGGGCGTTGCGTAATGGAGAGTGCTACATGGGGGGGGGGTGGAGACAGGTGCGCCTTTCATGCGCTTCTTGGGTCCCTAAACACCACTTTCTCGGGCCCCAACGGGGCACGGAAGATGCATGTTTCTTGACCCCCCCCCAAAACATATGTCGCCCCCCCCCGTTAAGCCACGCCCAGTTTGCCTCCTCCTCGCAACTTGCCTCCTCAAAGGTGTCGGGTGCGTTTGCCTCCTGCTCTCCCCCCGGCCTCCCTCCCTTGCTCCTCCTTGGGGAAGAGCTTCCCGTAGCCCGCCTTCTCTCCCTGTTTCTCCTTTCTCGGCGGCGAGCGAGGGGGGGAAGTGAGAAGGAGCAGGCATTCTCAGAAGGCTCGGAAGTCGCCTGGCCTTCTGAGAACATTTTGTTTTTGCTTTCGGTTTTGGGAGGATTTTGGCCTCTCAGGGTTCGTCCGTGGGAGACTCCGTGGCCACTTGGAGCCTTCTTTGGGCGATCTTTTTGGGGCCTCTTAGAGGCATGTTGGAAGCTGTCTTGACCATCTGGGGCTTCCCTGTGCCATCTTGGAGGCCATCTTGGCTATCCGGGGACATCGTGGAGTAGTCTTGGGCCGTGTTGGACATTCTTGGATGCGCAAGCACCTCGCGGGGGTAAGGGGAGATGTAAACCACTCCCCAGAGTGGAAGACGGAGGTTCGATGAACCAACCCGCTAGACCACGTACGCACAGAGGGCTGGTGGGATCTCTTGTCAGGTGGCCCCCTCACCTTTCCTCCTCGCCTTTCGAGGCCACGCGGTAGACCTACATGTTGTTGCGAACAAATATAGTTAGTCGGACCGAGGTATAAGATCGAGGTCGGTTCGGGGAGGGTACCCTAGTTTTCTTCGTGTTTATTGGATGTTCGGGTACCCTAGGATATTCTGTTTGGTTTGGCCGACGGAGGGTCTCATGTTCTTGAGGGATATTCTGGTGGCCTAGCTCCGACTGCAGCATCAAATAGCAACTGGCGTTTTTTACGGTTGAGCTCCCGGTCTGCGGGAGGTCTTCGCTGGGCTTGGGACAGTCAAAAGCGGTTCGGGATGACCATTTGCCTCTCATGACCTCCTGGGCCCGCGCTGTGGAATAAGCTGGGGGAGCACACCGTACAGGGATTTCCGACGGGAGCCCGGGTTCGCGGCTTCCCTGCTTCTCCGCTTCACTCGGGTTGCAAGGCTCCCAGCCCTGACTTTCCAGAACCGCCAGAGACGTATCACCAGGATCGCTGAATCAACCTCTTGGCCGAGGAGGTGTGCAGGAGGTCTGGAGGGCTATTGCTGAGCCTTCTGGAAGGTCAGGGAGGTCCTGTTGTTGTGTCCTTTTATTTTATATCGTGCCCTGGGGGTGTAGGGCCAGCCTGAGTCGTCCAGACTGGCGGTGGAGAAGGCCAGGAACGAGGAGCGGTAGTGATTTCGTCGATCTCATCCCGCCGCGGAGGATCAGAGCACAAGAACGCTGGTCGTCGAGTTGGACGCGGCCGCTCTCGCGATGCATGGGAGGAGGAGGAGGAGGAGGAGGAGGAGGAGGAGGAGGAGGAGGAGGAGGAGGAGGAGGAGGAGGAGTTGGAGGAGGCGGAGGAGGAAGAGGAGGAGAACAATGGGAGACAGGCAGGTTCACCCGATCACGATTCACCCGCTCCGATTCACCCGACCCTTGGTCTGGGTGAGTCGCGACCGGGTGAGTTAAGCGGGGTGAGTTAAGCACCAGGTGAGTTAAGCGGGGTGAGTTAAGCACCAGGTGAGTTAAGCCGTGTGAGTCAGGTCCTGGGTGAGTTAGGCCGATTGTTTTGAGCACCCGGTGAGTGAGGGACGGATGGGATGAGCGCTGGGTGCTTAGGCACCCGATGACTTACGCACTGGATGAGTTAGGCACCGTGTGAGTTAAGCAGCGGGTGAGGTAGGCATTGGGTGATGTAGGCGCTCGATAAGTTAGGCGCTGGGTGAGTTAGGAGCTGGGTGAGATAGGCACCGGGTGACTTAGGCTCTGGGTGAGTGAGACACCTGTTGAGTTAGGCACCGGGTGATTTAGGCACCAGTCGAGTTAGGCACCGGATGAGTTATGCATTGGGTGCGGTAGGCGCCGTGTGACTTAG